TTTTCGATGTCTGATATACATTAAATATTATCAATATGTGTTTCGTTTTTTCGTTTCTTGCAATTGATTTCAGGTGAAATTCACATCCAAAAATTTTTTGCCGACAATCACAAAACTTGTAAAATATACAAATATATTCATTTGTAGTGCCAAATATTATATTAACTGGCATTATTTAAGTCCTTTACACGATACGAGCATGATATGGTGCATATCTTAACTTATAAAAGCATAGAATTTCATCAATTTCAAATTTCAGTCACTTTTGTCTGGGATTGTATAGCCAGAACATCCTTAATTCGCGATTTGGGCGATAAAATTTCCGCGATGGAATTTGTCTAGCCCACTGATTGGCTACAGCCGAGCGCTAAATATCGCAGTTATGGTTGATTCCGTTTCGAACCACGGCCTTTCTCCCGTCCCTTCTAAATAAGCGATAAATCTGATTAATATCTCAGGGCAGTCAGGGCAGCTCGCGAGAGCATGCAAGGTAACGGTCAATACCGAGCATACGCTGCAAGACTCGAATCTTTCGACGAGCCCTAAATGAATATAGTGCCGTAAAACTCCCTGATAGTTCTCTTTTTTATGTGCCGGCGCGGAAGTGTAGTATTCAGGGCATTTGATAGTGTAAGGCACGATCAATTTCGAGGCTGTTATCGAAATCTGTATCGGCGAACGAGACGCGCGCGCAAGGCTGTATTATTTCTCCGTTAGCGAATTCAACGAAAGAGACGAAATGTAGAGTTAAACTCCACCGGATTGGCTTACGCCCGAATTGCCGTGTAAATCAACGACCGAAAGACAAAGATCCTTTGTCACGAATTAATACCGAATAGCCTCTCGTCCTGTCTGAGTTTCGTGCGCGACTGCCGACTTATTTTTCCGTCGTCGTGCTCCGGCCGTATAGCCTTGTTCTACGCCGGAGTACACGCGGAGCACGCGTGATATTTCCGCGATGCGTGATTGGTCGTTAAGCGGAGCGTCGCAACACGTGTAAGCACGCTGCGACCCCATGGCACGCTTGCCGAAATCCTGTCGACCTTTTGTAAATATCTTACAATAGTGCGATTTTCCTTATGTTGGAAAAATAATGCGGAGACACAACACGCGCTATTCAACCACGTGGAGTATGGATGGACTGTGAGTATTTGAGTGTCTATCGAGGCGCGCGCTCGCGGGTGCACGGGACACATGCTATACGCGGCTCACCGTCGACGAGTTCGATTGGCGGAAAATAAAGGGAATTACGTACCTGGTGATCTTCCGCCAAGTGTCCGTTGGTGCTACCCAAAGACATAAGAGAATGGACTGCGCGATCCGTGTATAACTACAGTAAGTGGTATAGGATATGTTGGTCGAGGAAAATGAGAGAGAGGGACGTAGGTTGCGGCCAATCTCCCTCTTTTTCTAAGATTGTGATTGGTTCCTCCTTCGTCGCGTAGGAACGTATCATGGCCATCAATCACCCTTTTTTGTAAGATATCTGTGCAACGTTTCGAGTCTCGGAAACCTTGCATAAGTGTCATTTTCGATTCGTATCGAGTCTGTATTAGAGAAGTACATAGAAATATGTACTTCTCTAATACATGTGTATACTTGTTGGGTGTGCAAGTGGCGAGGAGATAAAGAACCTAAAAGATCATTTCATAAGTAGGTACACATATTAGGTTAGACTCGTGAAAAGCTTAAATGTCTCATTTACAAAGCTTTAAAATGTTTGATGTGAAAATATAAAATAAATAATGAATAAATAATAAATATTACAGCTTTCCTTCCTGTGAAAATGAGAGGAAAAAATGGAAGCATATTCTAGGAATTAACATAGTTTTGGGAGCTCGAACTACAATTTGTTCATTACATTTCACAGAAGACTGTTTTCATTATGGTGTTCATGGAAGGAGATTATTAAAAGAGGGCAGTTTTCCATCATTATATCTCCCAACACCAGGTAATAATTTATTAAATGAAACAATAACATGAAAAGAGATTTTATATTCTGATTATACCTCCTTACATTCTTTTTGTTACATGCAGCAGTTGCATTTGTACTGGAAGAAAGAACTGGACCGTTAACTAATGAGTCTGAATGCTCTACTAAGAACATTGCTATAAAAAGGTTATTGTGTGTTTTATTATTTTATCGCTGATTATGAGAATATAATATATATATATATATATATATGGGGCATTCTTTCTC